GTTGCTTTTTCTCTTTTTCCTTTCCTTCATCCCCCTTTTTCTTTTACCCTTTTACTTCCCCGTTTTTCCTTTCCTTTCCTTTCCTTTCCTTTCCTTTCCTTTCCTTTCCTTTCCTTTCCTTTCCTTTCCTTTCCTTTCCTTTCCTTTCCTTTCCTTTCCATTTTCCTCTTTCTCTTTCCCTTTTTTTCCCATTCCTTTCCTTTCCCCTTTTTCCATTTATTTTCCCTCCCCTTTTCCCTCGGCTGCCCCATCCCTGGAAGTGTCCAAGGCCAGCTTGGATTCCTTTGGATTCCCTGGTCTAGTGGAAGGTGGGGACTGAAACGAGACGATCCTTAAAATCCCTTCCCACCCAAACCATCCCATTCCCAAGGCACTGGAATTCTCCCTAATTCCCAAAAATCCCCAGTCTGCAGAGCCCGCTCTGCGTGTCAGCGCCCTGAAGACCCATTTACCACCAAAGCCCCCTCATTATCACCCCCGTACCCTCCCACTTAACCTCCCAAACGCCCCTTAATTCACTCCAAGCCGTTTTATTCCCAATTTTCCCTTGGAATCTCCCGCTCCTCGCAGAGCCCGGCCTGCAACTCCCATGATCCCCTGCGCGCCGCTCAGGGCCTGCTCCCCTTCCTCCCCCGCAAGGCACGCTGGGAGTTGTAGTCCTTTGGCGCGCCCGCGCTCTCTGATTGGCTGCCAACCACGGCGGGGCGGGCCCAGCGCCGCGCGCTTCTCCCCTTCACCAATGAGCGACGGAGTTTGAATGATTGACGTGTCCCTCGGCCAATGGGAGCGGGGAGGGCGGGGAGGGCGGGAGAAGCGCGCGGGTCGAAGGCGGGAGAGCGGCGATGGCGGAGGCGGCGCGGAGGTGACGGGGGGGGCTCTGAGGGGATCGGGGCGCTCTGAGGGGATCGGGGGGAGTCCCGAGGGGGCTCGGCGCGGTGGGAGGGACCCCGGGATCGTCGTGCGGGGGTAGGAGGGTGGGGGTTAGCAGTGCGAGGTCAGGTAGCGGTGCGGGGTGTGTGGGGTGGGGTGGGAGACACCCCCAAAAGGGCTTTGGGACCCCACAGGGAAGGGCCTGGGGACCCCACAGGGACATCCCCCCAAGGGCTTTGGGACCCTATGATGGGCCTGGGAACCCCACAGAGACCCCCCCTTCTCCTTGCTTGGGGACCCCAAAGAAACTCCTCTAAAGGGTGTGGAGACCCCACACAGACCCCCCCCCAAAGGTTTGGGGACCCCACAGAGACCCCCAAAGGTTTGGGGCATCACAGGGACCTGCTAAGGGCTTGAGGACCCCTCAGAGACCCCCAAAAGTTTGGGGCATCACAGGGATCTGCTGAGGGCTTGAGGACCCCACGAGACACCCCCACCCCCAAAAAAATATTGGGACCCCACAGAGACCCCCCCAAAGATTTGGGGACCCCACAGAGACCCCCAAAGGTTTGGGGCATCACAGGGACCTGCTAAGGGCTTGAGGACCTCACAAAGACGTCCCCACCCCAAAAAAATATTAGGACCCCACAGAGACCCCCCCAAAGGTTTGGGGACCCCCAAGGGCTTTGGGACCCCATGAAGGGCCTGGGGATCCCAGAGAGCCCCTTTATTATTAATGAGGTAATACACATAATCTTTATTACCAGCAAAGATTAAAATACTCCTTCCCCCCCTGGCTGCAGGTTTTTGTGGATTTGGGGGGCGTTTCCCACTCGGGAAAAATTCCAGCAGCAGGGAAAACCGTTGTCCCAATAATTCTCCCAGACTGGGAGAGGTAGAGCAGAACTGGTTTAAATCGTTGTGTCAATAAAGGCCAAAGTAAATAAATAAATAAAATAAATAAAGGGATTTATGGGATTTGGCTCCCTGGGAAGCGGGGGGGGGGGAGACAGTGGAGGGTGAAGAGCTGCCAAGGCGGAATCCCGTGGGGATAAACTGAGCAGGAATAAAGGCAAGGCTTGCAGGAACTAATTCTGGAGAGGGGTTTGTGGGAGACAGGCGGGAAAACGCGTTCCTGGATTCTGGGAATCGTTAGGGACGGGGATTTTGGGATGTGTTTGTGCCTCGTGGCCTGGAATCTCCTCTGCACAATCCCGATATTCCCACCTCTGTCATTCCGGGACTGCTTCCTGCTGCTGTTTCATTCCCTGTCTCTCACCGTTCTCTTCCTCATTTCCTGACTCTGGGGGGGGGGGGTGTTGTTTTCATGGAATTCTGTTCCAAACCGTGGGAATGGCGGGTTTTCCAGGTGTCCCAGCGAGGCTCAGGCGCCCGGAACGCCCCGGAAACGGAGCCGGGGCTCCCCCGGGCCCCAGGGGTGAGTGCACAGCTCTTCCCACTGGGATTGATCCCTGGAAAAGCAACCTGACTGTCCTGGGATCAGGGAATGGGCTGGGGAGGGGAAGGGAATTCAAAGATCAGCCAATTCCACCTGGCAGAGCCTGCGGGGGCTCCGGGAGAGCTGGAGAGGGATTTGGGATCAGGGCCTGCAATGACTGGAAGGACACAGGGAATGGCTTCCCACTGGGAAAGGGGAGATTGGGAAGGGATTCCCGGCTGGGCTGGAATTCCCAGGGAAGCTGTGGCTGCCCCTGGATGATCCCTGCAGTGTCCCAGGCCGGGCTGGATCCCCTGGGATAGCGGGAACTATCCCTGCCCATGGAATGGGATGATCCCTAAAACCCCTGGCCATGACCAGAAGCTCAGTTCCAATCCCAAAGAAGAGCTTCTTCCTCCTTCTCCCACCTCCCACCATCCAAACATTTTCCTCATTCTCCTTAAATTCCCCTCAAAAAATGCCCCGGGGGTGGGGGGGGATCAGACCAGGAATGAAGTTGGATCCCTAAATTAGAAGGACAACTTCCCAGGAGAAACTGGAAATCCGGAGCCCTGGGATTGCTGAGGCCCTTCCTAAAAATGGAAATCCAGAAGCCTGGGATTGTTCAGGCCCTTCCTGAGAACGGTGTGATTTTTGGGAAGCAGGTTCAGAGGTTATTTGTGACGTCCTGGTGATTTTTTGGAGGGGGATTCTGGGGGGCTGAGATTCCCAAAAACATCCCAGGAGAAGGCCCTGGGGCTGTCCCAGCCTCACACCCAGGGATCAGGGATTTTCCAGGAACAAATCCCACCTCGTTTCCCACCCTAATCACAAACAGCCCTGATGAATCCCCCCCCCGGCAGCATTCCAGAGAGCAGGATAACAGTCATTCCCAGCCTCTGGAGCAGCTCCAGGCGGGATGGGACGCCTCATTCCCGGTTTTTTTTTTTGTTTTCCCCGCAGTTCCCCCTCGGCCTTCAAGACCCCCGTGAAGAAACGGATCAAAGCCTTTCCCTCCCCCTCCCAGAAATCCGGGAACGGGGGCTTTGCTTCCCAGCCCTGGCGCTCTCCGAGCCCCGGGGAGGAGGGGAAGGAGAACCGGGGTGTCCCAGTGAAACCAGTGACTTCCAGGAGGTTGGACATCTCCCCGCTCCAGGAATTCCAGGCATCCCGTGTTCCCACGGCCCCCCCACGGGGGGGATCCCCGAGGAAATCCCCCCTCAAACCCTCCTCCTGCAGGCCCCACGTGCCCGTGGGGTCCTTCTATGGCCGAGGGAAGGGCTACCTGGACCCCCTGGAGAGGAAGAGGCTGCAGGAGATCCAGGTTTCGGGAATGAGGAGCAGGGACGGGAACGTCCCAGCTGCCGGCAGAGCGGAGAATCCCAGCGGGAATCCCGACCCCAGGGCGGCCAAACACGCCCCAAACCCCGGGAATGGGGGCGGGAATCCCAACCCCAGGGCGGCCAAACACGCCCCAAAGCCCAAAGGGGGCCGGAGCGTCCCGAAAAGTCGGAAGAGCAAGGCGGAGATCCCGGTGGGAAAGCCCAGGGGGGAGAAGGAAGCCGGGAATTGCCTCGTCCAGAAGAAGATGGATTCTCCCTTCCGGGTGCTGAGCATGAAGGTGAAACCCGCCCTGAAGCTCCAGCTGGGGGCGGCTTTCTTCGCTGCCAGGAAGAAATCCCACTCCAAGAAAAACCCCGGAGACTCCAAGGCTCCCCAGGCTCTTCCCAAAGCCCCGCAGGAGAAGGTGGGGCCGGCAGAGGGGAGCGAAGCCCCGGAGAAGAGGGGCGAGTTGGGGAGGATTCCCGAGGCCCAGGAGGAAGGGAAGGAGAACAGGGAGAGCTCTGGGAATGTGGGAGATCCGGGATGTGCAGGGAAAGCATCCCCACGGAAAACCGGCAGCGTGTCCTGCGCTTCCGAGGCCGGAGCTGCGGAAGACGGGGTGAGTCTGGGGTGGAAGCGGCTTCCATGAGTGCAAACATCCCAAATATCCATGGATTCTCCCCTTGGGAGGGTGTGAAACCAGGGATAAACAGCAGGCATTCCCCGCCTGTCCCTGGCTCAGGGAATATTCATTCCAGTGCTTGTGGCTGGAAGGAAAAGTCTCAGCGGGATCTTCTCTCCCAAGGAAAACAACCCCTGTCATCCCCCTGTTTGGCAGGTTGTTTTCCTGTTGGATCCTTCCCTTCTCCAGCCTGGAGCCAGAGCCTGACATTGGATCCATCCCCAGCCCAGCTCCTCTCTGGGAAGGAGTTCCGGGAACAAGGGGGGGTTCCCTGGGAATCTCGGCACTCAGGGAAGGGGTTCCCTTCCCCCTTTCCCGCCTTTTCCATCCCCACATTCCATAAAAATCCCTCTGAGTGGATTCTGAGTGTCCTTTATCCTGGAATGGGTTGTGTGGGAAGGGATTTTAAGGATCATCCCATTCCATGGGCAGGGACACCTCCTGCTATCCCAGGTTGCTCCCAGCCCCATCCAGCCTGGCCTTGGACACTTCCAGGGATGGAGCCGCAGCTTCCCTGGGGATTTTCTTGGAAAAGAAAGACCTTCAGGAGCATCAAATCCAACCTTTGGCCCGACTCAAATCCCAGGTTTTCCTTTTGTCCCTAAAATCCCCGTGTTCTCCTCCAGGGAGCCGACGGGATCAGCTCCTCCCCAGGCTGGGAATCCCAGGATTGTGTTGTCCCTTCCAGCCAATCCCCTCCTGGAGGGAACAAACAGGGTGAGTTGGATCATTCCTGCTTCAATCCAGGGGGCTTTTTGTGCCGATCTTTGTGTAGGAAAATGCTGATTTTTTTTTTTTTTCTGTAGGAAAATGAGGCAGGGAAACCTTTGGGAATGCCTTCACCTGCTTTTCCCAGCAGGACCGGCCCTGAATTCCATGCTGTAGCGTTCAAAAAGCTGGATAATGCATTAAATGATGGGAATTTCGCGGGTTTGCTTCAGTTTTGATCCACCTGGGAATTCTTTTTGTCCCCCTGAGCTGCCCATTCCCAGGAAGGTTTGGGAAGTGGCTGTGTCTGAACCCAGTAATTCCATTTCCCCCGTTCTTTTCCCACTGGATCCTTTCCCTGGCTCTCCCCTGCTTCCCTTTCCCCATCCGGGTTTTTAAGGCATTTGGCTCCTTCCTTCAGTTTTCCCGGTGGGATATTCCCAAACCACCCCTCCCCTT